CCCGCAGCACCCCCTCGTTAGCGGTCCCCGGCTCGCAGCCCCTCTTGACCTGAAATGGTGCCGTTCCCCAGCCCCGGGTCCCGCACGGCCGGAGACAAAGGCGAGGGGGAGCGGGCAGCCCGGCGATGGAGGGGGGGATGCGGGGAGCAGGTACGGTTCGTGTTTCAAACTGAGATTAAAGAGGGAAGGGAAGGGAAGGAGCCGGATCGCCCACGAGCTGTAAAATAAGAGGGGGTTTTGTTTTATTTAACGCGAGGCCATTTTGGCCGGCATAAAGTATCTATCAAAATGGAGACAGAAAACAGTTCTGCCTTGAAAACGCCGGGGCCAAATTGGCTTTGAGACTTGTGTAGTCCTGAGCCAATTAAAATGTCATAATAATGCAACCTCAGAAAAAAACCCAAACAAACGTGTCTGTGTTATGAAAGATAGGAAAAGAAATCCTTCCCCAGCTAGAAGTGTTTATCCAAATGGCCTTTGGTGAGAAAATCAGTTGGTGAAAAGGGAGAGGGGAAAAAAACCCAAAGCAGCAGTAGGCTGGGTGCAAGCACTCTGCTCCATGTTTGCAGTGCCCATGCTGGTGTCCCTGGAGCTCTGCAGGGGTCCAGGGGGGTCTCTGCAGGTCTGGGAAAGTCCTGCCTGCGCTGCAGGACTGGGGGCTCTGGGGTGGCTTCGTTGCAGATGACAGTTTTAGCCTCTTTGTTGTATTTCCTGGCCTTGATGAGTCTTTGGGAGACATGTGTCCCCCAGGTATATCAGCAGTAATGGAAAGTGCCACTGTCACTACAGTCACTAACTCATCATCTTGACGACCCATCGATCCCCGGAAGAGTCGAGTGGAGGGTAAAATAAATGTGGTTTTCTGGGACAGGAGGAGAGGAGGAGAATACTGAAGATATTGTACTTCACCGGTCACTGGAATCAATGCAAAACTGGCTACTGACTTCAGTGGACATATGGCTGGACTGTGCCTGTGGTCACCCAAAAACCGGAAGAGATGTGCTGAAAGGCAAATCGCAAGCACTGTCATCTCTCCGTGGAGGGAATCCCACCCGTGTCCCTTGGGAGCTGACCAGAGGTGCTGAGGTTTGTGCTTAGTATGGCCTTGCTCAGAGGAGCATCTTGGACCTTCCTGGTGCAAGTTGGGGACTCCCACACACTCCCCAAACTGCAGGTGACATCCAGGGCCAGGGGGAAGACCAACCCCCCCAGAGCTCAGAGGGTGATCAGGAGTGGGAGTTTCCTGGATGTAGCCAGTGCCTGCCGATGCCTCAGGCTGCAGCGAGCCCCCCCCTGCCCCCCGAGGCCAGCCCCTCGCCTTGGGGCCGGCTAGCTGCCACAGCCAAGCACTTTGCTGGAGCTCATTAAGCCTGCTGTGAGGGAAGTTAATTAGTTCAGGGAAAACGCTGTGCTAATTTGCCTAACCGGCTTTTGGGATCAAGGTTAACCCCACCAAGCAGGCTTGGATGCACTCCTTCTGGCTGGGGCTCTGCCTCCTGCATCCGTGCACACCGGGAGGGATGCCCGCGGGCTCAGGAGATGCTTTGAACGTGTTACCCCTGCTCTCTTGAGGCTCTGCGATCTCAGGTCTCCTGGCAGGGAGAACCACCATCCCGAGGCAGCACCAGGACCACCTTGATGCCAGCCGGTTCTCCTCGGTAGGCAGGTGGAACAGCCTCTGCTCTTTGCTGTGGCATGGCAGGGCGAGCGCAGCGTGCCACTCTGTGCCGAGCAGCAGTGCCACGGCATGCCTTCCCACAGCTGCTGCACAGGTCATTGCAGGATTTACAACGTGTGTGGCCATCCCTGCCCACCCCTCTCCCCTGTCCAGCTGCCCCTTGCTTCCATGTTACGTGCTGACCACCCCACAGGCCAGGGCTTTGAAAGGACCTCTGCTTTTTCTGTCTGTCTTTATTATTCCCTCTTGCCTTGGAAGAGTGTAAAACTTGGGCAGGACGGCTGAACAGTATGTCGAACAGATGGAAGCAGGTCCCTGGCTGTGTCCAGGTGGAGGGAGCACTCAGCAGGTGGAGGCTGGACATGGCAAGCTGAGAAGCCTCTCCTGGCTCGGCAAAACGCTTCTCCCTCTCCACCTAATGATAAAGCAATTGTGCTCCATGTCTTTAGAATCACTGTTTTTGGCACACAAGCACGTGGCTGTCCTCTCCTCCCTGACCCCATGGGAAGCTGAGCTTGGTTCAGTGTGACTTGCAGTGAGGGAGAGAAAGAGAAACGTGCACGCAAAGAGACAGGGAGAGAAACAGGAGCGGGGTAATCTTCAATGCAAGCTTGCAAGCTTCTCTAAAAATAGAAGGCGAACCGTTCCCTAGTAATTAGCCAGGAGACGGATTTATTTGCAGCAATGCGATTTCAGCAGCAGTGCTTTTGGCAGGAGGAGTCGGGAATGTCCCAGCAGCTCTTAACCTTGCAGAGTAACCCTGCTTCCCCCAGCCAAGGGATGTTTCCCACAGAGAGCAGGCGAGTGTGGGCTCAGGCGCGAGCACATGCATATCTTCTTCTGCCTGCCTGGACGGAGGGAGGGAGCAAGTGGCCAGCAGAGAAGAGGTGTCCTCTCTGCAACAGCCTGCTGGCTCTCTGGGATGCAATGCTCCTCAGCCTTTGCATTGGAAGAAATGATGATGAAATTCTTTCATGGGGGGAGGCAGCATCATCCTGGCACAAGGGCTTGATCTCTAAAGGGGTTCAAGCAAGGACAAGCAGTGCCTGAGGTCTCGGTGGGGAAGAACGGCATAGGGACCCAAGCTTGGATTATGGGAAAGC